TCTTGCACATGGGTACATAAGCCCGTGTAATGTAAACTCCAGAATTTTCCCCACTGCTTGGGCAACCCAGGTGCTGCGTACACTTGCCCATAGACATAGCCATACTTCACATATATGATGGTACTCATGTATACCGTATGGGTGTATACAATAAATAGAAAATTAATAAAGCGAAAGAACCCTTGCGCAATTTTCTATATACAGTTGTGACCAAAATTATTCAACCCCCACTGAAATTGAGTGTTTTGGCCAGTTTGACATTGCTTTTGATCATTCAGTCATCTTGCTTACATTTACATTAAAGAGGCACTTGTAGGTCAGACAAATATAACATAACAGTTATAATGAAATAACCACAAATGTCTTTTCTGTGCTCACAGCATTATCAGTTTTATTCAACCCCCAAGTGACATTCAATCTTAGTACTTAGTACAGCATCCTTTTACAGTTATAACAGCTTTTAAACGTGAAGCATAGCTTGACACAAGTGTCTTGCAGCGATCTACGGGTATCTTCGCCCATTCTTCATGGGCAAAGGCCTCCAGTTCAGTCACATTCTTAGGCTTGCGACACTGCAACTGCTTTCTTTAAGTCCCACCAGAGGTTCTCAATCGGATTTAAGTCTGGTGACTGCGATGGCCACTCCAAAATGTTCCAGCCTTTCCTCTGCAACCATGCTCTAGTGGACTTGGAGGTATGCTTGGGATCATTGTCCTGTTGAAAGGTCCAACGTCTCCCAAGCCTCAGGTGTGTGACGGACTGCATCACGTTTCCATCCAATATCTCCTGGTACTGAAGAGAATTCATGGTACCTTGCACACGCTGAAGCTTCCCTGTACCTGCAGAAGCAAAACAGCCCCAAAGCATGATTGACCCTCCACCATGCTTCACAGTAGGCAAGGTGTTCTTTTCATCATAGGCCTTGTTCTTCCTCCTCCAAACATAGCGTTGATCCATGGGCCCAAACAGTTCTAATTTTGTTTCATCAGTCCACAGAACACTATCCCACAACTTTTGTGGTTTGTCCACATGGCTTTTGGCATACTGCAGTCGACTCTTCTTATTCTTTGGAGACAGCAAGGGGGTACGCCTGGGAGTTCTGGCACGGAGGCCTTCATTACGCAGTGTGCGTCTTATTGTCTGGGCTGAAACTTCTGTACCCACATCTGACAAATCTTTTCTCAGTTCCTCAGCAGTCACACGGGGACTTCTCTCCACTCTACGCTTCAGGTAGCGCACAGCAGTCGAAGTCAGCATCTTCTTTCTGCCACGACCAGGTAGCGTTTCAACAGTGCCCTTTGCCTTGAATTTGCGAATGATGCTTCCTAAGGTGTCTCTTGGTATGTTTAACATCTTTGCAATCTTCTTATAGCCATTGCCCTTCCTGTGAAGAGAAATCACCTCTTCTCTTGTCTTCCTGGACCATTCTCTTGCCTTCACCATGTTTGTAACCACACCAGTAAATGTCTAGAAGGAGCTGAGTATCACAGTCATTTTAAAGCTGCCTAATTGGTGCTTATTATGCTTGATTGCTGCTCGGTGACATCCACAGGTGTTTTCAATACCTGATGGAAAGCACCTGTATGAACCTCTGTTCTTCAGAGTGGTAGTCTTTAAGGGGTTGAATAATTGTGGCAATGAAGAAACCACATAAGAACCATTTACTACTGTATTACATAAACAATTGATGTCATTTTAGTTGCATTTGGGTAGTTACAACGTCCTTGTAGGATTTGATTCTGAATACAATTCCAAATGTACACTATAGTCCCTAAACCCCTTTACAGCATTGGGGGTTGAATAATTTTGGTCACAACTGTAATAACCAAATAACCACTTCTGCTGCTGCTTACAATGTTATGTGTTCCCACACACTGCCAACTATGTTTATATTATCTGATTGCAGTGCTGCAAATGCACAAAATTTATCCCATAATTACATCCCCCAAGAAAATGAATCATAAACTATACACATATCAAATCAATCTGTGTGCTGAAAAAGGCCTATATAACATGCATATACAATACCACCACTTGCAGATAAATAAAACAATTGTGAACAAGCAAATAAAAGTCAGAGTTCTTTCGTGCTCCATGATCGCTTCAATAACACACGTGTGACTCCCAATGTGAGTCCACCACCAGTCACACTACATTCTCACGCTATCGTTTGATCCATAAATACAATAGGTCAAAATCGTGCCTTCCCCTTTAAGGGGCAGGCGGATACCAAGTGGTTCTCTACACTCTTCTGCTGAAATCACACATCGCCATTATTCCTTCACACTCTCTTATTTCTCTTGGCTTCAGGTTTTATTTCCAAAGATAGCAGAACTTTTATTGTATACTGCTTTTTTATATTACCCACAACAGGTGCTCAAAAAAATGTAAAGAATCATAGCGCTTTCCGCTAAAATATTACTAGTTGCATTATCCCCACCGGCTGCCGCATCCAGGCCCTTTAAGTGGATCAAAATGCTGGGGGGGGGGGGGGGGGGAGGTGAAGGCGGGTGTTCCGATCACGTGTCACATGATTGAAAGCTCTTGACCGCAAATATACATCCTTGCCAGTTTAGTTGGGAAAGCGCAGGGAGCGTGCTCACACACAGTGGACTGTTTACATAAAGATGCATATATGCGTTACAGAGCATCCTTCTGAAAGGCTGAATATATGCGTGCGGGCGGTGGGAAAAGGTAAAGAGATGCACTTCCAATATGCCGTGCACAACTTTGGTGCACTAAAAACCAAAGCGTGTACACTTCCCCCTTAACAATAAGGCTCGGCATCCATGCTCTGGGCAAAACTCTGTTACTTCCAGGTTTCAACGTGATGATGTCATTAGCTCCACCCTAACGTGTTGCATCACACTCACATGACTTCTTCAGGGTACTAGGAGCCATGATGTCCTTTCTGGTTTATAGCTCTGCTGATCTGTTGCCATGAGGGCACTCAGACACATTTCGCCATTACATTTCCTGGAGTCCAGGCGTAGACCTCTGCCCTCTTTTATATTATAATAGCAGCAGTGTGTAGCAGTATATCTGACATTATTTACAATGGTAATATAGCCCAAAACCATGGTATGCAATGCGGTTATGTTGGTGTGTTGCCATTGAGACTGCTTGACACTTCATGCCATTTTGTTCATCTACTGTATATGCACATGGTGGTACAATGTAGGAATATTATATAGGCCTTTTTCAGCACACAGATTGATTTGATATGTGTATAGTTTAGGATTCATTTTCTGTAAGTATTGTAAAAACTTGTGTATTTGCAGCACTAGATAGTCAGATAGTATAAAATAAAAATAGAAAATATTCTATTGTCTGCATAAATCCATATTTTATAATCATGTCTCACACAACTACTGTTGTATACAGGGCTCTTTTTCCCCAGAAAATAGGTGCAAGTACTCCCCCCTTCTGAGTTACTCCTTGCCTCCACCCCCTACTCTCCTCTGAGCGCCATCACTTGGTCCCCCCCCCCCCCACCCACCTCTCAGTACCCCCCCTCCTTTTAGAGAATACAGTATCAAGTATCATTTGTATGTGTTAATGATATCAAGAAAAGCAGTAAAATAGATACCCTGCAGCCAGCAACAATAGCCACCCCCAGCAACAATAGCCACCCCCAGCAACAAGAGATCACCCCAACAATAGCTCCCCCCACCAATAGTTCCCTCCTAGCAACAAAATATCCTCACTAGCAATAGATCCCCCCCAGCAACAATAAACCCCCAGCAATGATAGACTCCCTGCAACAAATAACTCCCCAACAACAATAGATCCCCCAGCAATAATAGACCCCCGCTAGGAACGATACAGTAGATCTCCTAGCAGCAGGCAACAATAGACCCCCCCCCCAAGAATACATCCGTCCCAGTAGCAATTAGCCCCTAAGAACATAAGACCCCCACAGCAACAATAGATCCCCAGCAGCAACAATAAATTCCCCCTGCAACAACAGATCCCCTCAGTGACAATAGATTCCTCAGCAGCCAGCATCATCAGATCCTCCAGCACCCCATTCAGTGCTAGAAGTGCCGGACCTGCATTCCCCCACGTTCCTGCTGAGAAAAAGCCCTGGTTTGTATACCCAGATTACAACCATGCACAACCATGTACCCAGCTGGGAGGAAGACTCCAGGATTTACACTGAATTTGCTCAGTCGCTGTGTACAAAAGCCCTTCACATAAAAAGATGCTTTTGAGTTATACTAGCGAAACCTATTCCAATAGTTTTATTACAATTCTCTGTTTAATGAATGACTGTTTAATGTAGAAAAAAATGTTGACATGATTGTACCACTATAGCACACAGATTATATATTATAGAATATATATAATTACACACTGCAGGGGCGGACTGACCATTTGGAAACTCGGGCACCGCCCGAGGGCCCGGGGTCAGTAGGGGGCCCCATGAGATGCCCCTGGTACCTTTTTCATAGGCTTATTTTTGAGTTTGGGCAAGGACACAGGGGCCCCATTATTGCCAGGGGGCCCCATGAGTTGTCAGTCCGCCCCTGACACACTGTATCATGTTTGAGCCTACCCAAGACTATTGCACAGGTCAACCTGAAATCAGCAGATTTCAACATGTGTGGGCACCTAAACTAATTAAAGGATCTACAAATAATAGTGATTTATACCAACTGGCAATACCTGTCAAGATAAACCAATATCAAAAGGTACTAAAGTTTGTTCATGCTATAATGGTGCTGGATACAAGATACACTGCCGATATCACGCTGAGTATGGAGTCATCAGAACAATCTAAGTGCACCTTTATTATAGGGTTCAACCTATAGTGAACAGAGCTTACTTCAAACAAAGCTACCAGGCATCTTGCATCTTTTTTTTTTTTTTTTTTAACAGAAGTAGGCAACTCACATCTTAGGTGTCTACTGCAGAAGACTGACAAATTATAATAAGTTGATGCATATAAACTGAAATAATGGTATATCATTTTTTTGCATGTATTTATAATTACTTACTTTCTCATTTTTAAAAAGCAGGTTACTCAGATCATATCCATCCAATGTGACGTTGGGAAGTCCGGCTCCTGCCAAAGCTGCTACTGTAGGCAAAATATCCAGTGTGCTGGCCAGCTCAGAGGTAACTCCTGCAATGGTCACCAGGGAAGCAAGGAATTACACAATGCATTGCATGCTTACAATATTATAGTAAGGGCCATTTCACGATTGCAAACTAGTGAAGTACCAGAACAATTAGGTGGTATTTATAAAAAAAAAAAAAAAAACCACCACAGCAATCTGCCTAGTAAAAGTACATGTACAAATAGGGTAAAACATGATTATTATGCTGTTTCCCATGCCGGTCAAATGTTTTTCCTAGATTTAAAATGGAAAATAACGTACTTGATCACTAGATATAGAAAAGCATTCATTTGTTGCCCCATTCACATAGAAAGAATGTATGAACACTTTTACTGTGCAAATTACTTTGTCAAATTTTTATAAATACACCCTTTATTGTTTATAAAGATAAACCATTGACTACAGACTGCTGTTGGGGTACCTGTCTGGGTCGCTCCTGAGCCACGCTATTGACATAAGAACATGTCTCGGTCACGCCCCTGCTCCCTCCTCAATGACTGATTGACAGCAGCACAGGCCAATGGCCCCCACTGCTGAGAGAGAGAGAGAGAGAAGAGACGAGAAAGAGAGAGAATGAGAGAGAACAAGAGAAAGAAAGGGGGGAAAGAGAGACAGAGAGAGACAGAGAGAGTGAGCAAGAGAGAGAGAGAGAGACAGAGAGAGCGAGACAGAGAGAGCAAGAGAGAGAGAGAGACAGAGAGAGCGAGACAGAGAGAGCAAGAGAGAGAGAGAGACAGAGAGAGCGAGACAGAGAGAGCAAGAGAGAGAGAGGGACAGAGAGAGCGAGAGAGAGAGAGCAAGAGAGAGAGAGAAAGAGAGAGAGAGATAGGCAGAGAGAGAGAGAAAGAGAGAGAGAGATAGGCAGAGAGAGAGAGAGAGAGAGAGAGAGAGAGAGAGAGAGAGAGAGAGAGAGAGAGAGAGAGAGAGAGAGAGAGAGAGAGAGAGAGAGAGAGAGAGAGAGAGAGAGAGAGAGAGAGAGAGAGAGAGAGACTCTGCTCCTGTGCACAGTGCTTGATTGAGATTGGGCTTAGGTAAGTACTGTATATGGAGGGAAGTTGTCTGCAGAAGGTTTTTTACATAGAATGCATGAAGGTAAAAAACCTTCAGCGTTTGGAACCACTTTAGTTTTATTCATAAAGCCAAAATTATATCCAGAACTTCACACTAGAGGGAAATAAACATACACAGAGACACAAAGTAAGATAGAACAAGTGGTAGGGAATCCTTACTTTCAAGAGTTTACAAGAAAAAGAGAATCAATAAATGAGAGTGAAGGCAATGCCCTTTGAGTACAGACAGGAATAAGCTGAGAAGTGATCAGTATGGAGGTATTAATCCTGCAGGTCTTCGGAACATACATAGCTGCAGTGCCAAACATCACTTAACAAGCTTACCAGGGTGCCCCTCACACCAAAATAGCAAGTTCTGGATGAACGCCAAGATAGATCTTTGCTTATCACACACATTCTTTAATTCATTTACAGATACCTTTCCCGCTATACTCCCTGGAGGCCTGTACCAAGTACACACATCTCTTCATCAGTAAACTAATATTTTTTGACATTGAAACTAGCTTCAATATAACCCATGATAAAATGGTTTATGTGTTTGCAATGCATTTAGTTAGTTGGTTCACAGGCAAGCTGTACCCAACTTAATTGTGCTTATACAAGGGGGTTATTGTCCATTTACATTAAATTAAAATGGTTAAAAAAATGAGATTTTCATTTTAAATGCTCTTTTCTGATACGTACTTAATTCTCTTTGTTCATGGGGGTGCTGAGGAGCTGCGTTTATTCTAATATACCCTGTCAGTACAGTACTGGCATATCTCATTATCAGTTTTAAACTAGATTTGAACAGTGTCTGACCTAAGAAAGGATTCAACATTTGGAAGCTGAGCTTTTCTCTTTGTATGTTTATGAGTGGGAGCTCATTTTGTCTTAAGGTGGTTGTAAACTCTTACATATCCTCAGTGAAGTGACTGGACTCAGGTGATACACAGAGATGAAACAAATCCTTATACATAAGTTGTACCTGTTTATCTGCAGTCATCTCTTCTCTACATCCGTTCAAAGTCCAGAACCTATAAAGCTTTTCTGAGCTGTCAGGAAAAAAAAGGGGGTAGAGAGCTGAAGTTACACTCTGCAGAGCTCAGTGAGGAGAGTTCTGAGAGCTTATTGGCAGGAAGGGACACACCCCCTTCACACAGCACACAGGACCAGAGCTGAGGCTGTCAATCAGCTGGAGCTCCCTCCCATGTCATTGTTTTTCTCTTGGTGTCAAGAACTTGTCAGAAGGGACTCATGCTGATAGCAGAGGAATGAGGCAGCAGACAGAAATGTCACTTAGGCCCCTTTCACACGAGCATTCTGTTTTTTTCATCAGTTCAGTCACGTTTTCTCCAAAAAAAAAAAAAAAACGGATCAGTTCACATCAGTTTTTCATCCGTTTACATCCGTTGTTCATCCGTTTTTTTCTGTGTTCATCCGTTTTTTTCGTCTGTTTTTCCGTCTGTTCATCCTTTTTCGTCTGTTCATCCGTTTTTCGTCTGTTCATCCGTTTTTTTTTCGTCTGTTCCGGGTTTTTTTAATGGAAGAAAAATAGGGCTTTCATTCGTTCAAAAAAACGGATGTTAACGGATGAGGACATTAACAGATGATCATCCGTTTGCTTCCACTAATCCATAGAAGTACATGGGTGTCCATTTTTCATCTGTAAATGCCCGTGTTAAAGGGGCCTTAATGCTCTGCATTGAGACAAGTACACATTACAGAGTGATATGCTTTGTTTATATTTCATGTCTAAAGTTTACAACCACTTTCAGGCTTTTTATTTGGATAGACTCACACTGAACGTGTTCAGAAAAGTTTGCCTTTGGCCATGACACCTTCTCCTAACATCCTAAAAGGGTAAGGCATTTTTTTGGTATGTTGTTTTAATGAGAACACAAACACATAGTGAGGTTTTCTCAAATTTGTCTGCAAACGTGAAAATGCACTTTAATAACTACAGCTTCTGAAAGATGACAAAGCTATTTTGTTGTGGACATCTAGGCATCACAATTTTCAACAATTATATTTGACAATTACACTTTGCAAATTGTGGTGATACACTATACTAAGCTATGTTCCCTGCAGGCATTTAATTGGTTACTTTTCTAGCTCTGAATAGAGTGTACCTTTATCTGTCTAGCTCCCCTTTTTTCTGTACAGACTATAAAGTGTCAGTTGTGCCCTCTGTAGAAGTATAAAGCTTGCTTGGTGCAATACATTTACTAGAGGTACAATATACACATCCACAACAAATCTACTAGACTGCCTTCCTTACCGGTTGTAATGGAATGCTTTAACAAGTCTACACATGTATATCACATGGAGGAAAATACATCAATATTACCCTACAAGTAGAATGTGACAAATCAACAAAGCTTGTAAAGATAATGTTTACTGACCAAATTGCTGTATTACATTTGTAAAAAAGGGGTTGCCATTCAGGTATAACTAAAGGAAAAACGTTTTTTTTTTTTTTTAGTTTTGGATAAAGCGCAGAGGGTTTAGAACACTTGTCAGTTTTTATTGCTGCATGTAACCCTATTGAGAATATTCACTCCCTCTATTTGTCCAGTTTCTATTTTCATTGAGAGTGAAAGTTAAAGAAAAGCCCAAATATTGGGTTGTCCCCAGAAAGGTAATAGAGGGGGACAGAAATTAGAAATCTTCTAATGGGGATACTAGTTCTAGAAACCTGGGGGTCCCCAAGGAATTCCCTTACTTTGAAGGGAAAGAAGGAAAGGTCCTCTACTCGGTGGGACTTTGGAGGCACAAATTGTGAATTAATAACTAATAAAATTGGTCACATGCCTGATGAAGGGGTCCTGCGAGACTCCAAAACGTCGCCTTGCTATAACTATGTGATCGTTCATTAAAACATTTGGACCCATATTGGTGATCCTCGGTATGCTGGTGACACTTTCCCTTTCCCTGTTTTGGCTATGGGACAGGAAGTGCAGGGAAATCTCCACAATGGGACCCAGAAAAAAAAAATCTGACGGGTTATAACCCTCTCTTACGCTATCCAAAATGAAAAAATAAAATTGCCTATAGTTCTACTATAACAATGAAAGAGGAGGTCTCATTTCTTTTTTTATTACAGTGTTCTGTCCCTGAAGGGACAAAAAGTACATGTATTACTTTGTCCTATCTTCCTATGTGTTGTGGATGGCTAGCTATGTGGTCGGACAGGAGGCCCCCTCTTCCCCCATGGCTATCTGACAACACTGCTAGCAAGGAAACAGCGGCATTGATAGGCAGCATATTTCCCCAGCTCCATAAATTTTTCCCTAGACCAGCCCTGGCAAGAGGAATGCAAGAGCGAGTTGTTAGCCTCCTATCTGTCTGCATTCATTTTGCCAGTGCTGGTCTCAGGAGAGTGTTTGGAGCCAGGGACAAGTGCCGACTATTAATACAGCCATCTCCTTGTTAGCAGCGTTGTCAGATGGCCACAGGGAAGGGACAGCATCCTGTCTGACCACGTAGCTAGCTTCCACAGCAAATTAAAAAAAATGGGACAAAGTATAACATGTACTTCATCCCTTGGTGAAGCAGAACATTGTAATAAAAAAAATTAAAAATGTAGTATAGATGAAGGTGGACTTGTGGTGTAGTCCTTCCTAACCCTCCCTCTCTATCCTTCTCTTCTTTCGAGACTCACTGCATCCGGCTGTTTTCTCCCATTTCTCTGAGGATTGCAGTGATCTATCGGCCTCCTGGACCGGTGTCACGCTTTCTTGATGATTTCTCCGCCTGACCATCCTACTTTCTCTCCTCTGAACTACCCACTATCATTCTCGGAGATTTTAACATCCCTATTAATGTCAACAATCCGGCTACATCCCAACTCTTCAACTTAACCTCATCTTTTGCATTAACACAGTGTATACAGTCCTCCACTCACTCTGATGGGAATACATTAAACCTTGTTTTTCTCCCATCTTTGCACTTCCTACAACTTCACAAACACCCCCTTTCCTCTCTGATCACAATCTCATCACCTTCACAGTGTCCTCATCGTCAAACACCTATCCCTCCAAGCAGCAAACAATTACCCGCAGAAACCTTCACAACTTGAACCCTGCTCCTTTCCACTCTGCAACTGACCAACTCTATGACAGAATCTCTCCCCTGTCCTGCCCTGACCTGGCCACTGCTGTCTACAACAGTTCGCTTTCATCCACATTAGACTCACTTGCTCCTCTAACAACACGAAGCATCAGGCCCCAACCGTTACAACCTTGGCAGACTGACGACACCAGAAATCTTAAACGACATAGTCGCTGGAGCGATTGTGGCGTAAAACCAAAACTCAACAAGCATTCACCCTATATAAATCTGCTTTCTTAACATACAATTCCTCCCTCCATGCTGCCAAGCAAGCCTACTTTGTCACTCTCATCAATACCTTGTCATCCAGTCCTCGTCGTCTCTTCCCTACTTTTAACTCTCTACTTTCTCTACCTCCACCCAGTACCTCACTCACTGCTCTCGAGATTGTAAACCATTTCAAAAACAAGATTGACGCAATTTGTAGGGGCATTGCCACTGCACAGACATCCATCCCACTTAGCATACCTTATACTAAACCTCCCTCAACACTTCCTCTTTTGACCTTGCTACTACCGAAGAGGTCACTAAGGTTTTCTCAGAAGCCCGTCTCACTACCTTCCCCCTTGGATCCTGTCCTCTCACAACTACTATGGTCACCCTCCTCTTCCATCCTATGCTCCCTCACTCACATCTTCAATCTCTCCCTCTATACAGGTGCCTTCCCCTCCCCTCTAAAGCATGCGCACATCACTCCCATACTTAAAAAGCCCTCCCTGGACCCCACCAACCTGAACAACTTAAGACCCATCTCCCTGCTGCCATTTACCTCTAAACTCCTAGAACGCTTAGTCTACAATCGCCTGAGCTCCCACCTCACTGACAACAACCTTCTTGACCCTTTACAGTCTGCCTTTCGCTCACTACACTCCACTGAAACTGCCCTACTAAAACTCACTAATGATCTACTAACAGCGAAAACCAATGGCCACTACTCCGTACTCTTACTACTTGACCTCTCTGCAGCTTTTGATACGGTTGACCATCCCCTCCTCCTCAAAAAAACTCCACTCTCTTGGCCTCCGAGACTCTGCTCTCTCCTGGTTCTCCTCCTACCTATCACAGCGCTCCTTCAGCGTTACCTATAACGCTGCCTCCTCCTCTTCACTCCCTTTTTCTGTAGGGGTCCCTCAAGTTTCTGTCCTTGGACCCCTTCTCTTCTCCATCTACACCTCCTCCCTTGGTTAGCTGATAAAACGCCCATGGCTTTAAGTACCATCTCTATGCTGATGACACACAAATCTATCTTTCTACTCCTCACCCCTTCAGTCTCCTATCGCATTACTAACCTATTAAGTGACATATCGGCATGGATGTCACTCCACTTCCTCAAACTCAATCTTTCCAAAACTGAGCTCTTAGTATTCCCCCCAGCCCGTGCCCCCTCCCCTGACTTCTCCATCAAGATCAATAACACAATCATCAGTCCCTCCCCTCATGCCAGGGTGCTAGGTGTAATCCTAGACTCCCATCTGTCCTTTCAGTCCCAAATCCAATCACTGTCCAAATCTTGTAGGCTTCACCTCCGCAACATCTCCAAGATACGCCCGTTCCTAACCTCGGAAACTACTAAGCAACTTATTCACTCCCTTGTTATCTCTCGCCTTGACTATTGTAACTCCCTCCTCATTGGCCTACCTCATCGCAGGCTATCCCCTCTTCAGTCTATCATGAATGCTGCTGCCAGACTCATCCACCTTACTAACTGTTCGGTATCCGCCACCCCTCTCTGCCAATCCCTCCCCTGGCTTCCCATTGCCCAACGGATAAAATTCAAAACATTAACAATAACATATAAAGCCATTTATAACTCAGCCCCAAACTACATCACCGATCTTGTCTCTAAATATCACCCAAACCGTACTCTCGCTCCTCGCAAGACCTCCTGCTCTCTAGCTCCCTTGTCTCCTCCTCCCATGCCCGTCTCCAGGACTTCTCCAGAGCTTACCCCATCCTCTGGAACTCTCTACCCCAATTTATCAGACTATCGCCTACTCTGCTCACTTTTAGGCGATCTCTGAAAACCTCTCTCTTTAGGGAAGCCTATCTTGCCCTCAGCTAATAATGCAATCTTCTACTCTTCCAACCAGTCCATCCCCCACAGTTACTACCTTTTGTACCACTAGCCCCTCCCTCCTAGATTGTAAGCTCCAAGGAGCAGGGCCCTCCTATCCCTCTTGTATTGAACTGTATTGTTGCTGTCAGGGCTCCCGGGTATGACCAGAGGTTTGTGACTGACGCAGGGAAACGCAGGCTTCAGATAAGTTACAAACAATATAATTTATTAAAGACTAACAATACAAACATAAACGCAGTGCAATACTAAAACATAACAGTGCAAACGAAGCAAACCAAACCACCCACAGATAACAAAACATACAATGCAAGCGTCGTCAGGCAGGCCGGGATCAACAACAGGAGGTCAGAACGTTAGCAGGGTTAAGCAGGGATCAGAGCAGGAGAATGGTCAGACAAAGCCAGGGATCAGAGCAGGAGAATGGTCAGACAAAGCCAGGATCAGCAGGAGAATGGTCAGACAAAGCCAGGGTCAGAGCAGGAGAATGGTCAGACAAAGCCAGGGATCAGAGCAGGAGAATGGTCAGACAAAGCCAGGGTCAGACAGGAGAAGCCAGACAAAGCCAGGTCAGAGCAGGGGTCAGACAAAGCAACGAATGGTCAGACAGGAGTCAGGAATCAGACAGGGCAGGAACAGGGTAGCAGGAACAGGATACAGGGCCCAGGAGAAACACACACCAAGGCCGAGTCTGCAGGTCTGGCCATCCCTTAAATACACCAGTATAAGCAGTTTCAGGTGTTTGGCTGGCTGCAAGGTTGAGTCTCTGATTGCTGGGAGCACCCGCTGGCCAGCCCTGGTACTGCAGCCCATAAGGCAGGTGAGTCCCACCATTGCTGGCCAGTCCATTCCTGACAGTTGCTGTATTGTCTCCCGTTATATATTGTAAAGCGTTGAGCAAACTCTTGGCGCTATATAAGTCCTGTATTATAATATTAATAATAATAATAATAATAAAGTGCTGTTTACAGATTTATCTCAGCTCAACAACAAAGCCCTCAATCATAACTTGATGCTAGAATTATGATCATCTCTTAGAAGTATTGATCATTTTGTTACCTGGTTTTATTTTTCCCTCCCAGAACATTATTGCAGGTTCTCTTAGACCTCCCTCGTAAGTTGTACTTTTGCCACATTTCAAGAGTCCAGAGGTACCACCTCTCTCCTTGCGCATTGTTTCAGGCCTTATATTGAGATAAAACAAAAAGTTAATCAATATGGAATTCTACAAATCCTAAAATCTGACATTAGCAGGCATCCTCTCTGCATCCAGTGTGAATACCTAACATAATCATCATACACAACCGTGGACCTGAAGCAACAATGTGACGAGGAATGAATTGTCCATTACATGCATGTCTGCCCAATAGAGTCTATTGGACTCCATTTTTCAATTTTCATTGAGTGCTATGGCCAACACAGATCATCCTTGCATCACACATGCAGGGTCTAATTTGAGTGAAGTAATTAAAACACTATTCTCTTCATGCATCCAATCAAATGCAAGATAAGTCACTATTCCTATTAAATTCCATGTAGGACCACATGGTAGAAAACACAAGTTCATTTGTGCTTTAGTAAATCCAGTCCACTGATATATGCGGCTCACAATTACTGGGAATGATTATGTTTTGTAAACCACAAGAGCACTGCCATTATTCTTAATACAACCCCCGGTAAGGCTAGGTTCACACCTATGCAGGTTGCGTTGTGTTTTGTGTTGCATTTTGGGTTTTTGTACCTGTGTTTATGCCAAGTTTTTGATGCGTTATTTCCATTTTTTAATTTTTCTTGTTGCTAGGCAGATTTAAAATGCAAAACGCATCAAAAATGAGGCAAAACACACTACATGCTTTTCTGCAGCCTTTCCATTGAGGTCTATAGAAGCAAAATGCAACTTTTTGCGTTCAAAAAAGTCCCAGACCCTTTCCAAAAAACTTGCAGATGTGAACATGTCCCATAGGAAATCATGTTAATCATGACTCTACTGCGTTTCTGCAAACCGCTGCAGAAAACGCATAGGTGTGAACCTTGGGTAACATCAGTGTATTCCTACTCACCTAATCAAATGATCCCACCATATGAAAATCACAGATTCAGGGGTCGGTTTATAGAGTGACCACCAGAATTAAAAGACACCGTGGGGTTGATTTACGAAAATCGGAGAGTAAAATCTGGTGCAGCTCTGCATAGAAACCAAAGAGCTTCCAGGTTTTATTGTCAAAGCCTAAAGTGTTACTAAACCCAGGACCCTGCATTCACTATATCTGTCTCCCACAGAACACATTACATTTAAATGCAATCATTTTAGTAAATTTAAACTGCTAAACACCTTTTCCCATCAGCAGTTTGAGCAGTCTTGTGGCTTCTATCAATTAGTGTTCAGCAGAGCACTGGTTAAAGCTTGTAGAAGGCGGTTTCTTTCTGCTCTAGGAGGATACAGAACCCCTGACCTCTGTCTGGACAGTGCTAATTGGCCCTGTGCTGATCACATGCACTCTCCCAAAAAACAAAAAAAACCTCTCTAGCAATACACACTAAACTGAGCATAGTGTCTCTATACAATATGCCTTATCAGGAGATAAGGGGGGGGGGGGGGGGGTACTGGAAGAAGGGGAGGATCAGAGAAGTCAGGATCAAACAGAAGTTTTACACAATACAGAGGATTAAACCCTTAGGTTCCACAGTGAGTATAACTAGCATGCTTTACTGTATATACAGACTGATTTTAGTGTTGTGGGTTTAGTAACACTTAATTGAATAAGCTGAAGTTAGATGCCAATTGGCTACCATGCACAGATGTGTCAGATTTTGCACTCTCCTGTTTTAGTAAATCAACCCTAGTGCATCACTTTTAAAACAAGCATAGTCCTCTTCCCTACCCACACGTGTGACTCACCCATTGTCAGAAGTAAAGATGAAAAGTGTGTTGTTTTGAATTCCCAAATCCCACACAGTATTTAGAAAATCTCCTACTGTTCCATCAAATTCCAGTAATGCGTCTCCATACTTTCCTCTTATAGATTTCCCTGTATACCGAGCACTTGCAAACTGCGGATAATGAGTGTGCTATGGAAAAGAGATCAAATTTTCATTGCCTAGTCTGAAAATATGGAATATCATAGAAAATATTATATTACAGGCCCAATGTCACATTTACCCGGTTGGATATATATATATAATATATATATATATATATATATATATATAAATGTATGTATAAATATATATATATAAATGTATAAATATATATATATATATATATATATATATATATATATATATATATATATATATAGCACCTCGTTGTGTATTTGTCAACAACAATATTCAAGACAAAGTTACAGTTTGTAGGACAGAAACTAAGTTATATGTGCAATCAAAATTAAAACTTGTCTTCAGTGTGTAGAGCCACAATCTTGGTTTTCTCCCATTAGCATCCTTCCTTCCCTGCCTCCTTAGGTTTCTGGCTCACTACATCTACAGCATGTGTCAGTTCCTTCACTTCCATTGGAAACCTTGATAGTCAGTGTACACAAATCAAATAATAAATCAATAGGGGATGTTATTAAAATGGATAAACAATGTGGGTGTGACAAAATGGTCTTCATTTTATAAGCAGCTAGTTGACGCTCTTCCACCTAACTGTAAAATGCTATAAAAAAGGACACTCTCATGGAATATACTTTTACTTGTACATTTTTCAACATAAATCAAATCCATTTAGCATATCTTGTACTAGTAGCTTTCCTTACATTGCAGGTATTATGAATTAATAGTCTTTACATTCGATAAGAAAAAAGTGCAGCGCTAGTGAAAATTACATATGACAGTTTAAATATCTCTCAATACGCTAGCGTTATTATAAATAAAATAGTGACTTGAGTGAACAAACAGCGAAAAAAAATTCAATATGATATGCTATTGGTGAAGTGCTCTATTCTGGCGCTACGGTGACAAACATAGAAACAAAAGAGAATAAGCAAATGTAGTGTAGCGCTAAAATGCAGCGCAACGGTGACAAATATATCTATATCGTGACTGCAGTGAACAAATCAACAAATATTGTAAACGAGAACAAAATCAAAAGATCAATAATCAAATGTATCAGAAAAAGTCCAAAAGATGATCGTGACATAAAGTGATCACCTACTCATCTCCTCTGCTCTCCTTTAGGTGCACCCTGAAAACCCACCTCTTCAGGGAAGCCTACCCCACCCCCTGCTAATTGCCGACCTCCTCCACCCTTCCTACCACTCCATCCCCCACAACCACTCCATCCCCCACAGCCATTTCCTCCTGTACCACTATCCCCTCCCTCCTAGATTGTAAGCTCGAAAGAGCAGGGCCCTCGAACCCCTCGTGTATCACATTGTATTGTTATCGTACTGTCGCATGTTTTGTCCCCCATTGTAATGTACAGCGCTGAGTGAATTGTTGGCGCTTTATAAATACTGTATAATAATAATAATAATATTAATAGGAGAATCCGTGACAAATTCTTCCTTCTAATGCACTCACCAGAATCGCATATTAAATGCGTATTAAAAGCAGTGGTAAAACCCCTTCAACAGGTCAGCCTTATCCACCATCGGGCACAGGTAAAGGGAATGCACAGCTGTCATGCACCAGAAATAGGAGATACCTCCAACAGATTGCTCAATCCTCAGCATAAGAGTAGCCCCATCTCGAAGTGAACAGCTCACTGAAGAGCCCAGAGAGAGAAAGTCTAGGTGGATCCCTTTGAGAACGTGCGTGCACACAAAACACGTCAGAGAGATGCCTACGTGCTAATGCCACGCCACCGCATGCACGTGACGGTCCGGCGGCCATCTCTGTAAGTGATTTTTATCCATTGATGATTTTATGCTCCACATGGTTGCTATCTTTTTAATAAAACATACTACACTATATGATACTGTCTCCGGGCTCAGTCCATGAGCTTGCCCTCTAGGAGAGATCCCTTTCCTTGGTACACCGTGGGCTGGAGATGGAGACTTGGCTACTCTACTTTTGATTGTTCATTTGGTGTATTATTGGCTTCTACAGAGATCACGCCTTCACCCGGGTCACTGGCAGGAGGAACAAGCAGGAACACCCCTTAGTGTCATTCCGCTCTGGGCTTGCTTGCTACATACTTCCGGCTTATATAAAACTGCAAAGTACCAGAATGCTATAACAGACTGTGAGTGGGCATTGAAGTGTGAAAGTGCCTAAAGGCCTACGTTCATATGGCAAAAGCCTTTCTTGGGCTTAAAAAATTTGAGGAAGGACACAAGATTCATCACTTCCCCCCGTCAGAACGGAGCTCTGCCTTGTTTTGCTCCATGTGGTTACTTTCACATTTTCAATAAAAATATTGCACCATTAGCACTTTCACTCTCTGGGCTCTTTTGTGAGCTGTTCCCTTCAAGGTGGGGCTATTTTTATGCTAAGGATTGAGCAATCTGTTGGAGGTATCTCCTATTTCTGGTGCATGACAGCTGTGCATTCCCTTTACCTGTGCCTGATGGTGGATAAGGCTGACCTGTTGGAGGAGTTTGTTACCACTGCTTTTAATGCGCATTTAATATGCGCTTCTAGTGAGTGCATTAGAAGGAACAATTTGTCATGGATTCACCTATCACTTGATGTCACGATCATCTTTTGGACTTTTTTTGATACATTTGATTATTAATCTTTGATTTTGTTCTGATTTGCAATATTCGACCTGCCAGCAATTTTTTTCGACCTGTTTCTAAAGGCTGCAAATTTGAGGGCTATCATCCTTCATTGTTATTAAACAGTGGGGGGAGTTTATTAAAACTGGTGCACTCAAAGTCAGTAATGCCAACAGCCGGTGAACCCCATAACCTGCAGCAATGGCAGCTGCCATGTTCCTGTTGGATAAGTTAATTCCTTTACAAAATTCACAAAACAATATATTTAATCCTTACTTAAAGAGACCCTGTGGCCACACCATTTATTTTAACAACTGTCTTCCCATAAGATTAAATGTGCATTTAACATATTTCCTGCATGTTATTTACCTGAAAATACCTCCCGTGTATAGATATCCAAAAGCCCCAAAACTGCTGCTTAGTGTCACCATCTTGGAGGTGATGTCAGCAGCCTCAGCAGACCCCAAGCTGTCACTCAAATAGTATTCCCCTTCACTCCTCTTCCGACAGCTACATTCACGGTTATGTAGGAAGGGAAACAGAGTGGCGAAGTAGCTAGGCCAGCACAGACAATAATTAAACACTTCCGGCAGAGTAGAGGACTCTGATGTGCAGGGAAGGATGGGGCTGTGCTAAGGAACTGACTTTCCAGGAGTAGTCAAATATTGTATAAAGTTCAAAGGCTAATTGCAAGTTAATATAAAATCATTTACAGAAAAGAAAAACACTGAAAGTACATGACTAAAATATTTGATTTTTTTATGCTTTTAGCTGCAACATTTTAAGATGGTTACAAAGTCTCTTTAGGGATAGTAAGGGACAACATATAAATTATCTCTCTATTCCCCTGAGGAGGAGGGAGCATATCCACCCACGGGTATAAAAACGGATCCCTAACTTACATACTATAAGGCAAATGCACTTCCTGGATCCCTATTTTTGGTATCAAGAAAGAACCCTGCCTTTCGACCTTGTGTTATTTCAGAACTCCCCCCTGCATGAGAACAACATTGAATGCATTGCTTGTTTATGGTACGCTAGGAAGAAGTGAAGTGGTGACTTACATGTGCAGCATAGTAGAGGAAGAATGGTTTATTCTGTTCAACCGCTTTCTGAATAAATGATTTGCTGAACTGCTCGTAGAGAGGGACGAGTTCAGTAAAATTCACGGGTTGCTGCAGGATCTTCTCATCAATAAACACCGGCAGCAGAGCTTCACCCAAATCACATGTCCCATAACAACGTGTGTCTGGAGGGAAGCATATTAAGGTCTGACAAGGGCCCTGCATGGAAGAAAAACATAAATATGGTCCAAAATAAAGTATAGGAATGATAGCAAACCTTTGCAGCATTCTACTATATATATATAAAACATTTTTTTCCTAATCTACAAGTACATTTGGGGGCTGAGTCATGGTTTATTAGGTCTCTGTAAGCACTAGTGGAAACCAACTGAAGATTAGGGCTCCACCAAGGTTAGCCATGGGGTGTCAATCCCACTCACAAGAAAAACAATCATTCCTCTGCTGCATTCTCTATATCGTAAAATATCAAACATTTCAAAATCCCTGGTAAGCTTTTACGTCATGGCATGTGGACAAGCAAAGCAATGCAAATATGCAGAGCACTCCCTGGAATAGCTTAGAAGAAGCCTGTCCTAGAAGAAATAAAGTGGAATCCATTCCTGTGCTTCCCCCTTCTGGAAATGCTAACCATGGGACCTGAACAAGCATGTATGGAGAGTTCTGACATTCTATGAAATCTCCTGATCTACAGATTTGTTGAAGGTTAGTGTCTCAAAAACACTAGGAGGTGACAACAGTTAACTAGCATTTTCAGGAAGAGGTTATCAAAGATAATTCTTGTATTTGATTTATGACAGGTTTACTACATAGACAAAATTATTAAATTGCTGGCATCTAAAAAAAAGCAATATATCAGTTTTGAGTATCCAAACTATGGACAAGTATGAACTTGGACCAAAGGAAGTTCTCAGTGCTGGCCCAATCAGCTGTGGCCCACCCCACAGCTGCACCTACTGAACAGTCAGAAATTGAAGCAAGATTGGCTCCACCCAAGATAACCATGGAATGCCAATCCTTTAGGAAAGGGGTCTCCAAACTTTCTAAACAAAGGGCCAGTTTACTGTTCTTCAGACTTTAGGGGGGCCGGAGTATGGCCAATGGGAGTAGAAATTATCCTGGCATCAGTGGGGTTAAACAATGACCCACCATTGGTGTCAGTGAGAGAAAAAGTGCCCCATTGTTAGTGTCAGTGAAAGGAATAGTGCCTCAAGGGCCGGATGAAGGCAAGCAAAGGGCCACAGTTTGGAGACCCCTGTTTTAGGACCACACCACTTGACCATATTAGGTCAATGATATCACAAGTATCCTCACTCCTTTATGTACATGCAGCTGCAGGGTGGGAAATGACTAACTGTAGATGATTGGACTGGCACCGTCAGCTTCCTTCCGGGCCTGGACTGAACCCAAACCTATAACTCGTCCCAACCCCTTTTAGCTTATGCTTAGAACCACAAGCACTCCCAGGCTTTTATCAGTATCTATTAACAAAATGTTTAATCAGTTTTTAACAGACCATTGCCACTTTGCAAATTTCCAGCACAAAATGCGCAAATTCAGGCACATCAAGCTTACCCAATCTAGTCTTGCTATGTAACAGCAATGTCCACTGCTAATGAAAATTTAGGCCGTCAATCATATCTTAGTGAACACTTATAACCCTAGTTAAGTGTTTACTAAACCCCATCTTTGTGTGAAGACACATTACTGACCAGGAAGGTTACAAATAATATTGATGTCACCTGTCCAGAAGCTCTATACCTGATCGTGGGAATAGGGAACTCCCAAGAAGTGCTGAAACCCTTGTCGAGTGGGCAGGAAAGTCCCATTCAGCCCGAGGCCCAAGTGCCATTTACCTGCCATGGCTGTGACATAACCACGGGACTGTAATAACTCAGCAATGGTGACCTCACTGAGAGGCAAACCTCCAAGTGAGCTGGGGTAGAACACACCAGGGTACACACCAGAACGAGTCTGGAAGCGACCTGTCAGGAGGCTGGCTCTAGAGAATAGAGAAAAGAAGAAAAACATTAAGATGACCATTAAAACAAACAAGAATGATATGAATCAAAAAGTGGCAAACTGAAAACTTATACTAAATTGCATAATGTGTAAAAAGAATATTCTGCAACATTTCCCTTTCTAAAACTGCCTAAAAATATAATATACAGAATGGATTTGTTACCTTATAGCCTTTTAAATGATACCCTTATTTATTCCCATTCTAAACGAAGGTGGGCAAAGGTTGGCATTAAAAAAGTGCTAAAAAATTAGATAAAGTACACCTCTCTGCCAAGTCTAATTTGTTCTCAGTCTTTGAACATCTCAGGGCAGAAAACAGAGTTTTTGCATAACATTTGCCATAGAAACCCAGCAGCATTATTTTACAATATACTTGAATAATGATGAAGACTCCAAAAATATACTTCTGCTGCTTGAGATATTGTTATTTAACCCATAAACATAGCACTAACATGGCAAGTGAAACAAAAAAATAAATAAAACTAAATAATGTATTGCAAAACAACCTGTTAGTATGTAATAATATATATATATATATATATATATATATATATATATATATATATATATATATATATATATTGTAGGTACAAATAGGCTGTTTTGTACACAGGTTGTAGTTTTCTTTTTCAGAGGTAGGGAATTCAATTAAAGCCACAGGGAGGTGGAAGCAGCCATTGCTGATTAGGACTTAGGAACCTCTGAGGAGTCCTTCAGTGGGCCAGTCCAACCCTTCCCATATAACTAGCTAAACAAAAAATTAAATCCACAATGAACATCAAAACTCCATGTGAACTGTATTCTTGTTACCATACACTTATGTACACCGGGCAAAAGAGAAGCATGTGGGCTGCCATTGCTAGCATTCTTCTAAAATACTAGATTCTAGACTTTGTATGGGTTAAAGTCAGAGGAAAGCAGGAATACCTTATTGTAATACATGTTGTAGATTTGGGTCTCTGAAAGTGCTGAAACCAAGGCATCAGCATGACAGCCAGGCAGCTTACATTTTCAGAACAGCGATGGCAGCTTCTACTTTTTTTTTCCACGACAGATTTCTTTTAACCACCATGCTGCCTACAGGGATAATATCACAAGAGGCCCCTCTGCTATACATTAGTCTAATAGTAGCACATATATACACTCACACCTATACTGTACATACATACTGGAAGGTAAGCCCACACATATACCACACAGATGATTACCTGGAAGGTGGGAACACACATACACCACAGATGATTATCTGGAAGGCGAGCATACACATACAACAAACAAATGTTTACCTGGAAGGTGAGCACACACATTCACCACCATACAAATGATTACATGGAAGGTGAGTGCACACACACGCCACCATACAGATGATTACCTGGAAGGCGAGCGCACACACACATATATCATACAGATGATTACCTGGAAGCGAAAGCACACATATACATCATACAGATGATTACCTGGAAGGAAAGAACACACGCATACATCATACAGATGATTACCTGGAAGGAAAGCACACACGCATACACCATACAGATGATTACCTGGAAGGAAAGCACACACACGCATACAGATGATTACCTGGAAGGGAAGCACACACGCATACACCATACAGATGATTACCTGGAAGGGAAGCACACACGCATACACCATACAGATGATTACCTGGAAGGGAAGCATACACCATACAGATGATTACCTGGAAGGGAAGCACACACACACCATACAGATGATTACCTGGAAGGGAAGCACACACACACACACCATACAGATGATTACCTGGAAGGGAAGAACACACACATATACCATACAGATGATTACCTGGAAGGGAAGCACACACATATACCATACAGATGATTACCTGGAAGGCGAGCACACACATATACCATACAGATGATTACCTGGAAGGCGAGCACACACACATATACCATACAGATGATTACCTGGAAGGGAAGCACACACATATACCATACAGATGATTACCTGGAAGGCAAGCACACACACATATACCATACAGATGATTACCTGGAAGGGAAGCACACACACATATACCATACAGATGATTACCTGGAAGGGAAGCACACACATATACCATACAGATGATTACCTGGAAGGGAAGCACACACATATACCATACAGATGATTACCTGGAAGGCGAGCACACACATATACCATACAGATGATTACCTGGAAGGCGAGCACACACACACACACCATAGAGATGATTACCTGGAAGGGAAGCACACACACATATACCATACAGATGAATACCTGGAAGGCGAGCACACAGCTCCGGTGGTATAGAAGTTTGTAAAGCGCAGTCCTCGGCTGGCCATTGAGTCCAGATTAGGGGTGTGAGAGGTGGGGTGCCCATAGACCCCCAGATCTCCATAGCCCATGTCATCAGCAAATATCAGGATGATGTTGGGAGGACCTGAGGAGGCATGAGCAGAGCAGAGCAGGAAGCCGGCCAGAAGAAGGATCCGGGGGAACATGATCAGATCTCCTCTCCTCTTACCATGCCTGTACAATAACACAGTGCTCCAGATCATCGTCATAGACATAGAATGCAGGGTGCAGGGACTGATCAGAGGTCAGCGATAGCAGCGAGGAGGGCGTGCTGGGGAGAGGACATCTCGCACAATGACAGAGGAAATGCAGATAGTGGTGGTGACAGGACTGCAGAGAGATGGCAGTATGAGATCAGTACATGGATGGTGAGCTGACATTCTATACAACCCAACCCGTCCCCCCTACATACACGCACCGATCCCTCACTGATACATTTAAATCCCACCACCTCTCCTCTCAACTGCCGCTGGAGCCAGTGGAGCTCGGGTCACGTGAACCCGGGGGGAGGCGGGGCGTTAGTGCAGACCGTCACACACAGGAGTGGCGTATGACAGGAGGGCGGAGCTCTGTGTGGTCCTGTGCACTGGGCTGTCACTGAGGTGTCACTGCTGGACACCCATTCCTGACACGTATCTACCCCATGATTACTAACTAACACACTGGGCCCTGACTGACCCGTGTCTACCGGTGTATGCAGTGTGCAGAATACAGCTCATATATGGTGTACAATGAGTGCAATACAAGCAATGTAACAATCCAATACAAAAGTAGGCACAAAGTAAGACTAAAGGCAAAACTTTTTTTTTTCACTTTATGCGTCCAATAGGGGAGATTCCCCTTTATTTCCTGTCCCTTCACCACAACTGGAAGTGGGAGAAATTGCTAAAAAGTAAGGCAATCCAAGGGTGTCACCCAGGGGCGGACTGACAACTCATGGGGCCCCTGTGTCCTTGCCCAAACTCAAAAAAGCCTATGAAAAAGGTACCAGGGGCATCTCATGGGGCTCCCTACTGACCCTACTCGGACAGTGCCTGAGTTTCCAAATGGTCAGTCCGCCCCTGGTGTCACCAGAACTGGTGTCCTCATTGGAAGATCTTCCCCCTCCCTATTCCTGTTCTGGTGTCAAACCAAAAATTGGGATTTTTTTTTTATTCTCACTTTCTATGATAATGGCAAACAAGAAAAATAGTGTGACTTCCCCTAACAAGGGCTCAGACTGCAAAAACATGAAAAAATACCAAAAAAAGCAATATTTTCTACTTTCTGTTATAAAACATATCCAATAAAATCAAGTTTTGTCATCATTTTAGGCTGAGCTAATTGGTTTGTGTGAAAGTTATTGCATCTACAAACTAAGGGATATATACTGGAATTTACGCAGCTATCACTCTATACTAGTAATGGTGGTGATCAGCTGCCTATAGTATTATTATACAGTATTTATAAAGCGCCAACAGTTCGCTCAGTGCTGTACATTACTATGGGAGACAGAACATGCGACAGTACGATAACAATACAGGACTGTGATAGTGTGGCAGGCAATCTGGTGCTAGCTGACACCAGCTGGGAGGTACACTAACTGACACTGACTTCAGTAGTGACACTTTGGCTGGATTCACAGTTGAGCATAACCTTTTTGAGAGTTATTTGCGCTTTTTTGCACATTTTGCACATTTTCTTAAGCAGTTTTGATCTTTGGCATTTTTTTTATTAGCCAGTAGAGAACAATATCAATTGTTACATCATTTGTTGCTAGGTTTTTCAGCTTGTTTTTAGCTTTTCTATAAGATTTTTGTTTTTTTTATTCTTCATTTTTTATTATTATTATTATTATTATTATTATTATTTTGAATGTTAGGGTAAGGGGGTTATAGTTAAGGTTAGGTTAGCATTAGGGGTTGGGGTTACGGGTTAGGTGTTAGGGTTAATGGTTAGGGGTTAATATTTTATTTATTGCCTTCTTATCTATTATTTATTTATTTAGGATGGATTGGTGTTCTGGAGTGGGTTAGGGGACTGTAGCAGATTTGGTGGTCCTGTAGAGGATGAGGTTTCTGGAGAACACTTGGGGGTAACTGGGGGGATGGGGTCTCTCCAGGAGGCTGGGGGCTTCTCAGGGGCACTGTGGCAGACTGGGGGGCCCTGCAGGAGCTGGGAGGACACTGTAAAAATATGGAGACACTCTGGGGGGGGGGGGGGGGGGGGGGGAGTCTGATGGCTCTGCAGAAAGCAAGGGGATACTGAGGGTACTGAGGGTTCTCAGAGGGTTTGGGGGCACTTTGGAAGGTTAAGCGGCACTGCATGCCACTGTGGGAAGTTGAGGGCACTATGGGAGCTGGAAGTCACTGTTAGAAGCTAGGGGATCTGCAACTGGGTGGAGGCCTAGAAGGAGGGAGGCCACAGCCAAGCAGAGGGCCACAGCCCAGTGGTTGAATTCACTGGTCTAGAATACTAAACCCAAATGATAAAACCCATGCACATGGGTGTCAAAATATTTTTGTCTAAGTGTATCTGGAACTCATATCCATACACAGCAGAGTCCAGATGCATTCAGTCTGGCAGCGTTACACAGAAAAGAATGTTGTTTGTCCTGGGACTACAAACTGCATCCAGGACTGCTCATCTGAATATTGGAGCTGAACGGTGACACTGTACCCAAGAAAGGCAAGCAGAGGGCAAAGGACTAGTCACTAGTGTTGCTTGTGGCCTCCCAGTTTGTTTAGGAGGTATTCAAGACAGCAGCTATATTTCTTAGGATATTACTTAGACACAATTAACATTTCTAGATGTTCCTTTGACATAGCAAATCTACACTTAGAAATGCTAGGGGGGAGGGGGGTTTCAAAGTGATTTCTCAATAAAATAAACATGGAGACGGGTGGGTGACTTTGCTTTGAATATTAGAAAATGAAATAGTGTTTCCAATTTGTGGTGCTCAGAAACAGTTTAGTCCTGCTTTAAGGACAGTTTCAGTAAAGGCTCATTCACACGAGCAGCCTGGGGGCAGTAAAACTAGACTGTTGAACCGCAATTTTGCCACCCCTAACTACCTGCCTGAACACAGACATGTACCCACTGAGGGTTACACATATTATTATACAGGATTTATGGCAACGATGTTGTTCATGGCAAAAATCAACAGCATGTTGCATTTGGCATTCAAGGCGATGGGGTCACATCACATATTTATTTATTTATTTCAGGTGCTTATATAGTGCTGTCAATTTACACAGCGCTTTACATATATATTGTACATTCACATCAGTCCCTAACCCTCAAGGGGCGTACAATCTAAGGTCCCTAACTTACATTCATACATACACATACTAGGGACAATTTAGACAGAAGCCAATTAACAGCATGTCTTTGGAGTGTGTGGGAGGAAACTGGAGTAACCGGAGGAAATCCACGCAAGCACAGGGAGAACATGCAAACTCCAGGCAGGTGTGCATATGCCCCACAAACACTTCCAATGCATGCAATTGAGGCGCAGTTGTATGGCATGTACAAGGATAAGTCAGGCGGTAAGAAGGCGACATAATGCCTCCTCACCACTTGTCAATTGCCCACTGAAGAACGATCTGAACGTTGGTCGCTCTTCAGGGATCCCCACACTTGTATATAAGCCCTAAGCCAAAGATTTAATCTTCTTCTTTTTTAAAACCGCAACTGCATGTTGGGGATCTACTTCTTTAGTGTGTTGGGGCGCCATTCAGGATAAATGGTATGTGTTGGATTGCATTGAGGGTGCGTACATTGTACATTGATGTGCGGTAATGTAGATTAAAATGCATATGTTCTAAGGCAGCCTAAAACTTGCTTATCAGAGGACATAGACTGTTCAAAAATGTTGTGTTTGCCGAAACCCAAGAAGTTCGCTGCTTACTGAAAAACTGCTATTGAGGATCGCTTTTTATTTGCGTAACAGTCTCCTAGTTAGGTTGCTAGGTAAATATAGCTTTTGGCTTGCTCTGTAATCAAAGGAGCAGTGATTATTTAGTTTGGTCTGATCAGAACTTCACAGGCTGAGAATTTGATTTTTTCCCCCTGCCTCTAGGAGAAGTTTCTAGAGCTTAGGGTGGGAGAATTTAGATGTCCAGCCTGAATATTGAGCAGGGCCTAACCAATCACAGCGGAGATGTGCCCAGAAGGTGGTTAGGCTGTTGTTAAATAGTCTGAAGCCCTGAGGATATTGTCTTTTTCCCTTATGTGGATGGATCTGTGAGCTTAGAGGAGATATGCTGCTTGGCCCGGAGTCCTTTGTACCAGGATCCAGTGAGTAAAGCCTCATATTTGTGCTAAAGGTGCTTCATGGTCTACAGCCGTAAACCTATAGACTGTTCCAGTCTACCTCTACTTGTGCTAAAGCTACTTCATGGCCCTTAGCTGTGAACCTAAAGGTTGTTAGAATTTATCTTCATTTGTCCCTCTGTTATTGAGACATAAGTGTCCTCAGCTATTGATCTTAACATTTGGGGTTATCCCACACCCCTTTTATCCACCTTTGTTACAAGTTTTTCAGCAATAAATTACAAAAAGAGAAACTCTGTCCCAGACATCTGGAAATATTATGTAGCAGCGCAACTCACACAACTGTGTCAACTCCATTATAGCTTTTATCGGCCTGATTGGGTATCCCTTGAGGCCCAGGCCTGTTACCTGCTACCTACAGATCTGGTGCTTGGGCTTCCCTCTAGACACAGCAGAGCCATCATGTGCCCAACGCCTTCACATTCTTTAAATCTGTGGGACTCTTCCTGTAAAAGATGGCTCTTATCTTCCGCTCATATGCCGGTAGCTCTCTTTTTAACAACCCCCTATTCCCGCCAGACATGCAATCCACCCGTTTTAGTTGGTGGCTGAATAAAGGCCTTTATAGCATAGACCAGGGGTCTGCAACCTTTTGACATAAAGAGCCACTTGGACCCGTTTCCGAGAGGGAAAAAAAAAGACTGGGAGCCGCAAAACCATTGCAACATTTAAAACAAATCCGACACTGCATATATTGCAAAAAGCGCTCTGGTCATGAAGGGGTTTAAGGGCCCAGTAAGAAAAAAGGGTTAATCAGGGCCACAGTGTATCGTCATAATCACAATCATAGCCTTAGGTCAGTGGTGGGCAACTCTTTTTTTCAACTGAGCCAAATCTTGCCAAAACCACGATTGAAATTTATTTTGAGAGAAACATTTTTAAAACTGAAAATACATCCCCC